ATTCTATTCATCATCAGGGCCTGAGTCTTTGCCTTGGAGTGTTTAGAACGTCTCCGGTTCATAGCCTGTATCTGGAAGCTGATGAACCATCACTTCAACAACGTCGTATAAAGTTATCTTTACAGTACATTTCTAAATTGCATTCTAATAACTCCAATCCAGCCTTCGGTTGTGTTTTTACTCCCCTCTATGAAGAACTCTACAATAAAAAATCAAGTCTTACTCCACCCCTTGGAATAAGAATAAAACATCATATTTCAGCTGCTAACATACATCTTAACCTGATAGCTCCCACAGAACTTTTGTCTTCCCCGCCATGGCAATTGGTAATGCCAGAGGTGGATCTATCCTTAACTAAATTCAGGAAATCGGAAACAAATCAGCTTATTTATCAACAAGAATATAATGAATTAAGAAGCAAATATGATACTTATAAATCTATATTTACCGATGGATCTAAGGATGGTGATGCAGTTGCCAGTGCCACCATCATTGGATCCAGGACTAGATCTTCAAGACTTCCAGATAACTGTTCCATTTTTACAGCCGAATCCAAGGCCATATTAACAGCATTAGAGTACATAAGTTAACATTCCAAACATAAGCAATATATTATATTTTCAGATTCTCTTTCTTGTCTTCAGGCAATTAAAAATCAGTCTTGTAAACATCCACTTTTAATTGAAATTATTGAATTATTAAATGTTCTTGCTACTGGCCAGTGCGACATCGTTTTTTGTTGGTTACCCAGCCATGTTGGTATTGTTGGGAACACAATGGCCGATGCTGCTGCAAAAGCAGCACTCAACAAATCTGTGACACCACTTCTTATACCCTATAGTGATTATAAACCTGTTATTAGATCTTACATCTGAGATCTAATGCAGAAGAAGTGGGACACCCAAGTAGACAATAAATTACATGAAATTAAATCCACTACTGGTTACGCCTACTTGGGTTGTCAGTCCAGATTTGAAGAGGTCGTATTAAGACGATGTCCTATTGGCCACAGCAGATATACGCACGAATATTTATTAAAAGGTGAGGATCCTCCGTTTTGCATCCCTTGTGATGAAAGAATCACGGTCAAGCATGTCCTGCTTGACTTTGTTGATTTTTCCATCACAAGGGATAAATATTTCAAGATTACATCTATGAAGGATCTTTTTAATATCAGTTCTCATTTAGTTGAATTGTTCCATAAATTTTGATTAATATGTTGTGTATATAATATAGTGTTTTATAATTGGCAGAATAAATGTGATAACTGAGATTGATAGTGGCTGTATCCTGTGTAAAATTATTGTCCCCTGGAGATGGTATGTAAGACCACGTCTTTCAAAGTAGATTTATTCTTACGATATCTTTTAACCGTAGAATATATGTTGTTTTAATTTGGCTAAATGTGTTAATAATTGCCAACACCTGAAGGGATGATGTAAATCCAGCTGGGGTCCATGCAGGTAGCAAAAGTACTGTAAGTCCCCATGGTCCCCAGTATGGTGATCTACCTTCAGTTGTTGGAGATCATAGCCTGTTTTTATAATGTATTGTTATGTATCGTAATATCAATTTTATGATTCCATACTAGTTTTAATTATTTCTCTGTGATAAATCTAGTTATTTTACTGCCCATCGATGGCAGGTTTTTTATACGTTTTCAAAGTATTTATAATATTTAACCTTTGATAGTCACGATATGGCTGAAATATTGCAGATGTGACTTAAAACTTAACTCACTCACTCACTCACTCATATGCTGGCTATGGAATCCATGAAATCTTGAAATTGACAAGTCACACCATGCAGATTTTGAGATAGGCCCTACCGCGTGTAAAAAATGACCAGCTCGTCTGCAGGCTAAAAAGCGTCTGTTCAGTCATACTCCCTTCCATTGGTAATCATATTGTACCAGCAGGCTCGATCATTCCCAGTAAATCTACAGGTTACTGTTGAACCACATCATAGATTGGGGTTGTCATCTTGCTTAAGGAGCAACGGAGAATGTAAACACACGATTGTCAGCCACTGACAGCTGCGAAGTGTGAGTAACCGTGATGAAGGTCAAGTTCTGCCACATCCAAGTTCGCGGTGGAGAGGCATTTATTTTGATGTTATTATTGCTTACTGGGGGTAATTGATAACTAACTAATAACACTTACACATGTTAAATGTGTATTAGAATGTTTATTCAAAAAGTTTGCTGTAGAAATATATTCGTTTAGCATTTTAAAACCTTTTTCTACAACCTGTCACCCCTACAATAGAAATGATGGCATGTTCGATTTCCAAGAAATTACCTCTCTCGCGACTTCCAAGAATTGACAGTCAGTCCACAGTGTACAACAGTGTACAACACGGTAGAAATTAAAACATCATTCTGTCTTTGGACTAAGATTGGGGTGTTTTTTGTCAACTTCTTTTGAAAAACCATGTGTTTTGAACACTTATTTTGAACAACTTACGACTAAGGTGGTTTTAATCTTGAACTTGAGTAATAATTGTTACATATTTACTACCTGTGACCACTTTTCAAAATGTTCTAAGATTGCGGACCTGTGTGCCTGTGTTGTTACGTGTTGCAAGAGAGCGCCGTTTTCAAAGCGCTGTTGCCTTCATGGTAGAATGGAGATAAACCTACTGTGTTTTGAAATTTGATGTAGTCCCACTGTAGAAAGCACTCGGTTCAAAATTAAAATAAAGAGGTATCTATTCTACAGTGGGACTACATCAAATTTCAAAACACAGTAGGTTTATCTCCTAAGTATCTTTTCTATAGTGGGACTACATCAAATTTCAAAACACAGTAGGTTTATCTCCTAAGTATCTTTTCTACAGTGGGACTACATCAAATTTCAAAACACATTAGGTTTATCTCCTAATTGACAGACTGGATCGGTCTATTGTTAAATTACTTGGTGTCGTCGCTGGATTGTGTAAATACATTATGACGTCACAGTTGTTATTTATGACGTCATCATAAGTATGACGTCATTCATATGTCATTGTCAGTTACACTGAAGAGCTGTCATGAGACAGTGAAAGTATTATGTCTGAAACTGCTTAAAGATGTTGGACTAACGTGGACTTTATTATTTTATTATAATTAAATTTTCGTTGTGTTCATTGATATTCCTGCATTCTGATTAGCTGAATTGGTTACGTGTTATTGCATTCATTTCCCGATGAATGTAAAAAATTAAGCCACGCCCACGGAGGTGGACTACTTTCGTTACTACGGAATGTCAGGGAATTCCATAATTACATTCGAGGGAATTCCCTTTCTGCTTAAGAGTATCGATAGTCATGCACAGGACATTTAGTGAAATTAATGCATATTCATTGTCCAAACAACCCTTTGAGACTGAAGGCCGTGAAGGAATGAAACCAGGGAACTAATGTTTGAATCTGTCGGTAACTGACTATGTCATTTGAAACAGCCGCCTTCTCCCGGTTCGTTACAGTCTGAGTGTTGCACTTCATCTCGCCTCTTGCCTTGATTGGCAGGTCTTATGAACATTGTTTTGATCCTACTCTTGTTGATTGGCTACTGATTGTGTAAGCGTGTCAAGTTATGTGCATAAATTAAACAATCACCTGATTCATGTCACGCCACAGTATATATTCCTACACCTGGAATGTTTATCAATGTCGTCATTTTTGTCGTCTTTGATATACACACCTGCTTTTGGTTAGACTATTGTCGATAAAACATGTTTTCGTTGTGTAGCAGGGCAGTGAATGAGCGATAGTCAAACACATGCTACGGGTGAGAGACGTTTATCCCGCCAATGGATTTGTCATATATTTATCTATCTAGGATATACACCCTGAAACATATTTAAGGAATGATAAGTAATATTAACAATATACATAATGCAGTCATCGACATCACAGTATTACAAACCGTTTTACATTACAAACACATCTTATTCATATTTTAATTGTTAAACTGTACAATAATCTGCTAACTGATGTAAAAACCAAAAAGAATAATTATTCATATATTATATTATCTAAGTGTAAAGCGATTACAAATCTCTTTCAAAATACATACAGATACATGACTTTACGGGTGTTACACACTTATGTGTCACACAAATATAGAAACTGACTATACAAGTTATTATGTGCCTACCCTGTAGGTGAGACTGAGGTGTCTTCCCGACTAGCGCCGAAACTTCTAATTCCATATATCTGAATAAAACATATGCGTTTATAACAATGACTCATACAACTATTTACATATCCCGTATAGTACAGACAGTATATTATACAGAACTGATCACAAAAGCAATTGAAACATAGCCTATTCCATAAAACAACACATACACTCTTCCTCATACATACTTGAATAAAGAGACAGAAAAGTGATACATTAGTAATTACCAAAGCTTACAATTTATAAGTCTTGTTTACCACATTTACTTAAATAAATTGTAACTGAGAATATGATAATATTAAACACGTTTAGTTAAGTTTAGTATTATAGGTTTAATATACTGCAACATTTAACTGCAATAACATACAACACAAATATGCCCAAGCATATTGAACTGATTTTAGATGATTTCACTGGTCAACCTGTCTGTAAGATGAGTGTGCAGACTGAGAACATACCTCAATGAACCGAAAAAAATACACAGTCAATCCTTAAATATATTACATGTACACCGAGTGAACATTTGCCTCATATATAGATATATATATATATATATATATATATATATATATATATATATAGATATATATATATCAATTGCATGATTGATTATACGTCTGTATAAATACGTCTCCATTTATAATGGGCTCAAAGTAAAAGAATATGTTGAACCCATTAGCTCATTTTGGAATCAGTGAGATTCAAGCTCACTACCCTGTGAATAAGGTGACTGGGTAGACGGTAGCTCAGTATCAACGAAAGACATCTGGTACTTATACATTATTGAATAAAATGGCTACAGTGTTCTCTTCCATTTGGTTGGCATTTGGCTCATGAATCGGATGTTTTGTTCGGATTGGCAATAGCAAAACAAAGTCATTTGGCCAAGAACTTTCCCTTAAGCTTCAGATATCACGGCGAACTTTCAAACAGTCATTTCCCTTCCACTGATTCACCCACCTGAACTAGAAATAAAAGAGACCAGTGAAAGCGTCTCATCTGTTTGGTATTGTACTGTAAGAGTAGGATCTCAATACTGTTGAAAGGCTAAGAGACATATGTTATGAAAATCTTTGAAACTGCTTGTTATACCAACATGTTATACTGGTTTTGCTGATAAGTGGGAATAAAGCCTTGGAAATGCATAAATAGGGAGCTCTGGACCGAGACTGTTGACTCATTGGAAACCTGGACGATTGCATAGAGCTCAGGAGGAAGACACAGAGGCCTATACTCTTTACCAGGTACGTATACGTGTTTGTGTCAGCACCTTAAACTATTCATGGTGACATGACCATCTACAAATGCAGTGCCAACGTTTATTATACGAACTTTCTGGGCAAAGGTGTCGTTTATTGCCGTAAGGCAACAATTACTTAGTTGTATGTGTAAATTGTGTGAGTGGCAGGTGCTTCCGGTAAGGCAAGGTATGCTTACTCTTTTCGCAAACACCTTGTGTCATAAACTGATTTTCAGTGACCCATTGGTATAATATTCAGCGCTGCTTTGCTTTTTGCGCACACGACGGAATCTGTTTTGGAGACAGTTGTTTTCTGGCGATGAAATTTATATCATTTTGTTTAATTTTCAGAGCGTTTTACCTGAAGTGCAAATGCCTGCATATTTCCCATACACGTGTTGTGAAATCTATGCAGTCATATTCACACATCTGATGTGTTTAGATATTACTGTATAACTGGTGCCCTTTAGCTTTGGATAAATATGTATATGGCCTTGTATATGGAATTGGGCGAAATTTATACCTAAATTTGCTCAGTGATCGTATTTTTTAGTGTTGGTTCACATTGTCAAACTTATGTTTTATTTTTCTGCTCTCAGTAAGGAGAGCAGCCCTTCATCAAAGAACAAAAATCTAAAAGAGAGAGTTTATGGTGAATTTAGTCGCACACGTTAGAGAAACAATGTATGTATGTCAACTTCCATAAGTTGACAGCCATTAATTCTCTCTCTTATGTGCATCACTTCTAAATGGAATTAAAAGACGTAACAAAAAAGTAACCGTGATAACATGACGTTGCATACATTTACATGATCAGATTCGCTTATATATTTCTGTAATTTTGCTGTAAGATATTTGAATTCTAACCCCACCTTCGTCGGAATAACCCGATGCAGCCATTGGTATGGAATCCTAGAACAGACATTGTCGCTTCCCATAACCAAGCACAAACTGACCGAATTAAATGCAACATCGTCACAACGCGACATTTTGACAACTTCCGCGTTTTGAATAATATTTCTGTGTTTTATTTTAATGTTAAAATCTGCTGCGTTGTTTCATCGTCACTCCTTCTGAAATGTGCGATAAGGCATGAATAAGTACGATAAAAAGTATTCAAAACTAAACAATGAGGCAATAGGCCAAAATGTCGCATTGAGGAGCTTTACTTCATTTGGCCATATTTGCTTAGATTCTAGAATTCCATGCTCTGGTCACACTCCGGGACAACTCAATAAGACATGACAATACTTGTACTTGAGTCTGTAGTATCATAGGGTGTTTAGAAACACTTGATGGATTTAGTAAGCAACAGTCATCAAATAAGAATTGCTCTCCTCAGCCTCTCAACGTTCTCAAATAATTCATCATAAATATCTGGCTGGTCCCTGACTTCATTTAAAATATTTCTCTCGGTCTAATTGAATGATGCTTAAATAACTAGACTGAATGAAATATCGAAAAAACATAACTTGTTCACGCATATGCTGGATAACATTAAAATGTTTGCATACATATACAAGTAAACAGTGTTTATTCCGCGCGTGTGTGCCTATATCTTGCTAAGGTCGATTAACGTTCTATATTCGAAGGGGGTTGAGGTTTTGTAAAACTATTGTCACCCTGAGATATCGCAAATCCATGTCATTCGAAAAATATTTCTGCCTACTACTATTTTAAACGTAGAACATGTGTAATTTTAATTGTGGCTGCGTAGCCATTTTTTATTTTGAATGGTTAGATATAGTGATATCTCTTTATGGTTGTATTGCTACCTTTAAATATTATTTCTGTGATATTGTAGTTATTTTACTGTCCATCGATGACAGTTTTTTTATATTTAGTCTAAATATATGTATGATTAGTGTAACACCTCTCGTCTGGATATGGCTGTAATATTGCCGATGTGACGTTAAACATTAACTCTCTCACTCATTAACGGGATACAAATTAAACATTAACTTTAACAGTACATCTTTGCAGTGATACCCCCGAACGGTCTTGCTTTGTCGCTTGGCCTAAACTCGATAAGCTCAATTGTTCGTTTGTATAAATCTGTTAACAAACGTAAGCGCGTGATCTATAATCTTCATTTACAGGAAGAGAAATGATTCTTTGAAATGACAGATGGCATGTGGAGGCTAAATAAACAGACAAAAATAATTCATAATAAATACACTAGATGCATAGAATGCTGGGAGCGGCTGGGTGTGTACAATTTTCTCACAATTTTCATTCTATGGACCAAGTGCTAAGGATAGAGTTGTGGGTAACATACCCTAATCCTAATGATCGAAGAGGCACGGGCCCGGGCAATTATCACTGCAAACACGAAAACGTCGTTTTTTCCGTATATGGACATTGGACGGAAAAACGACTAAAAATTCATTAAAATTGATTAATTGGTTAGCGTCTAGAAAGTGTCCGGAAAAGCGTCGAGTTTTTCAAGCGTAAAATGGACGGAAAAACTCTGCTTTTTGCTCCGACTTGTACAACTGTTAACGGCCAAACAGATGGCGCTGGTCCCCCGACGCACGTGATGCCCAAGGCTTCCTTTCGGAAGCATTAGGTTTCGTATTTCTGGCATGCCTTGCTCTAGTATCTTTCGCGCGCAGTGCAGCGAGATTTGCTGAGTAGTCAGTTTTAGGATATGTTACATGTTAATTGAATTCAGACACGCGCCAAGAAGTCAAACCAAACCATGTTACCAAGTTTATTGAGATAATGTATCCCTCCGCTATGCACAGTTACCTCTATCGGATAATGGGTTGTGTTTCATTTGGTTATAACAGTAACTAATTTTGTAGTGTAAAGTTTACACGATATACGGCTTTTCCATAGGACGAGAGGTGGGTCACATGACGTTTTTCACGTGACTGTATTCTTGAAAGGGGCACTGATCTAAGGCAATTCCCCGGGACTGGTTGTTGCTTTTGTTATTGTTTTTTCCCAGTGAGTACCCGGATGTATAGCAGAAATCTAGACTAGTTCACGACCTCTGCTGCGCCATTCGTAAGCGCATTTGTAACTTTTATTGGTAGTAATAAGGGCGTATGGTCACATTGATCAATAAAATGAAATACAGTTTTCGAGATAATAAGGAAATGTAGGTATCTTTGTGGGTAGCATCGGTAATGGTGACGAAGTTTTGATAAGTCACTTGCTTGGTAATTTTGCGATTTTCGTTTACACTATTTTGACTTGCAACACAAAGTAAATATTTCACCTGAGCATTGCTTTTTTATAGTGTGTATATTTTTTACCGTCAAAATGTGTAACATTTTCAAATTTATTAAACGCCTTAATATTTAGTTATTTTACAAAGGGACTGAAAAACATTTCCATCTGTATTATTATGATAACGAATTTCAAACATTTTGATGTTTTATGTCATCGCCAAGAGACTGAAAATGTAACGTTGAAAAGTACATTTCGATGTTGTTTGGCTTCTAATCCCACATAATAATCTGTTGTGATGTTTGTAGGCCCTTTTGATCGTCTTAATCAATCTGGACAGATTTTTTAGTCAAAACGAAATATTTACACATTTTATAAATTGCCTGAGAGAATCACATTTTACAAATTGACGGTAATATATACAAGCTTACAAAGGAAAAGACCTGTGAAACAACGTCTATCGCGCATTGAAGAATTTCCCAACCAAGAGAGAAACAAGGACGAATCGGTTCAATGCTACAGCAAATGAAGAAAAACAAAATGCAAATACCATAATTACAACCTACCCAATTTATGTGTATACATTTTAGGCAGCTTCCTTGTTCGAGGAATGTATCCGTGAATATCCATACAAAGGAACAATAGTCCACTCGTCTGCAGCTGTACAAAGAAACTTAATCGATGTCACGTGTCTCTGTAACAATCAAATATTTTAAAAGATATATATCGTTTCGGGATATTATAACCCGTGTTCGTTTCTCAACTGATCACTTGGATTGTTTCAGGTGTTTCACACAGGTGTCAAGTCTCAAGGGTCGGCTGAGAAAGCCCACGTGACAACTATTTTCATAACGTCCACGGTTCCTAAAAAATCCATTTAGTGATAACAATGAGCAATCAATCAACGTATTATCAGTTAACCCTTTGAACAAAGTATGTTGTTTTTACATCGGCACTTCACGCCATGATATGAGTGTATTCCCTTTGTTTTAGTAAATCTAGACATGTTAACACTCACCTTTGACATATCCACTGCGCAAGATAACAGCGATTAATCAATCAACGTATTTTCTGTTAATCCTTTGATGACTAGGAACGATCCGTTGATTTACAAAAAAAAAGTAAACCAACTGATCATTCACCTCTTGCTGGGCTGCCACGTGCATATTACATAACACACATTTCACCTCACTTCAAACCTGAATTTAGATTGAATAATTACCCCAGACACAATAAATGCAAAATGGGAACCTTTGTCAACAATCAGTTAAGTAGCTTACTGCAAAACGTTTTCATTCATCAGTTACTCGAGAAGATAACTTTATTTCAGTGATCAAAGCTTACCTTCGGCCCTATCACAGTTGTTTATTGTATCAAAGTTGTTTACAACACGTAATTATGATTATGCCTTTACATCTCCGACTAACGACTTTGTGTGTCCTGGTTTAAGCCTAAGAACATAATTATATACTCTCACCAAAATATCGCCACACAAACAAGACATCACACCCTGATTTGTATAAGAACATATACTCTCACCAAAATGTGTCCACACACACACACACACACACGTCATCTCACCCTGATTTTCGGCGCGCCATATTGCTCGACTTGGTCAGGATCCCCTTCAACAAAACAACGTGAATGTCGTGCCCTGGCGCCTCACTACCCTGATCTCTCACCAATCGAGCACATGTGAGATGAGATGGATCGGCGCCTTCGACGTCAACTACATGTTCCACAGATACTCCAGGAACTTCGAAACATGCTCCAGCAGATATGGACAGATATCCCACAGGACTTTGTGCGACGCCTGGTCCATTCCATGAGATGAAAATATGTTGCTTGCATCGCAACCAGAGGTGGACACACACGCTATTGATTTGTAAATTGACATTTTGTCATGTTCATGTTTTTTTTTCATAAAATGACACATTTTCTGAAGTCGGTATAGCAAATTCAACCATTTGAACACTTACATAAGTCTTTTATCAGTTGCAAACCGATATTGTTTCAGATTTGGTAAAAAACATAACTTTGCATTCAATCTTATTCAACGTCACAGGAACTTTTGTTGTTCAGTATATTATATCACCTTATCGTCTTCTCCTCACTAGCAGATGGTGAAGCCAGATGTACCCCTCACTCTAACCAACTAACAAAATCTGAAACAAATCTTTATGTACAAGCATACAACCAATCGCGAACAAAATATAATTGTCCAGATCCGAGGATGGCGGTAAAGATGCAAGTGCCACCATCATTGGATCCTCAAGAATCCCAGAAAAGAGCTCAATCTTTACGGCTGAGGCCAAAGCTCTATTAACAGTTTTGACCTATATTTAACATCTAAACATTTCTTAAATCTTCTCTGATTCATTGTCTTACCTTCAGGCACTTAAAAGTGTCTTCTTAAATCATCCCATAATCCAAGACATTTTAGAACTTTTCAATGATCTTTCTACTGGCCGATGTGCTATCGTCTTTACTGATTACCAAGTAATGTAGGCATTACAGGTAATTAAAAAGCCGATGTTGCAGCTAAAGCATCTCTTGACAAACCATTATCTCCAATACTTATCCCGTACATTGATTTCAACCCAACCATCAAGAGTTATACTCGGTATCTCATGCCAAAGTAGGAATCAATAAACTTCACGAATTAAAACCAACAATCGGTCATACCTTCTTGGGTTGTCAATCAAGACATGACGAGGTCGTTTTAGGACGATTTCGTATTGGCCAGTCGGTTTACCCTTGAATATCTGCTTAAGACAGATCAGGACGAACCTCCTTAGCGTATCCCTTGTGATGAAATGTTCACCGTCAAGCATATATTGCTTGACTGTGCGTACTTTGCAATCGGAAGGGATTCACATTATCAACGCGCACATCTGAAAGATCTCTTCTCCCGTGTCAGCGGGCATCGCTTCTTAAGTTACTTGAAAGAAATCGGTCCGTTTAATAAAATTTAAATATGTATGTGAATAATTAAATGCTTGTTTTAAAATTTGGTGTGATGCTATTACCAACTGACATGTCCAGGAGGTTGAAGTACGGTACAGTTATTGTCCTCCTGTGTGACACGTCATCCTATCATAATCGATGTTACTATCATCAACCTGTGTTTTAAGCCTATTCATTTGGTAACTTGTGGCCTATAGCCCGTGTTTTAAACTGTATAAATGACATTGTTAAGCCCAAATATGTTTGAAAAAATTGTTTTAAACCTAACTTTGTGTTCATGATCAACTTGGAATAATATTGTCATGCCCAAATATGTTTGAAAAATTTGTTTTTAAATATAACCTTGCATCTGTGACTCACTTTTGAATATATAAACTTGGTAACGTCGCTATATGGCTGAAATAATGCCGATGCGACGATCAATTGTAACTCACTCACTCACTATGATCATGGAAGGGGTTTTCTGGCTTTTATTTAAAAATAACACAATTAAGACTCAATTGACGCTCAAATGCTTTCAGCAATGAAGATATTGGGAATCGTGGTTGCAGTCTCATTGATCCATATGATACCAGAGGACTTCTTACCTCAGCTCTACACAATTGGCACTCATTACCAGATAGGGAACAGTGTGGTATGTTGTGGTGTTTTGAATGCTTTCGGCAAGACCTTCATGTTCATTCTCTGTATGCCAGGAAGAGCAGCAAAAAAAAGATGTCTTTTATTGTGCAAAGATACGTTTTCGAGACTGTATCGGAGCTAAACAGAATTCCTTGAGAATTGTGAAGAAGATTTAAACAAAATATTTTTGAAAGAATTAAATATCAATTCCGGTGGTGTAAAATGTTCGGGATTGAGGGATGTATTTACTGGTGTGTTGTATTCCAGGGCAGGACATTCCGAAGGGTGATTCAGGAGTTTTATAATCAGAGTTCCTCCTTGGCAGAAGTCACAAAGTTCATACAAACAGACACAGGGAAAAGTGTAAGCTTGTAATTTTCACTTTGTTTTGTGTTTACTCATGCAAGATTACTGCGATGAGACAACGTTCGACTTTCATTGTCCATGGTAGTATGTAAATATTCACCTCTGTTCCATACATGCCAGAGAATGAAATGTTTACCTATCCAATATTGAATCTTGTCTATGACAAATAACGGAGTTGAAACGAAAGAAAAAAATACATGATGATAAACAATAAGAAAATTTAGCTGTATTAATTATGATCGAATCTTTTAGCAGGATTAGAAGAACATTAAAATGAAATATTCGAGATATTTTTATGTCATGTTCCCACATATTTAAGTCGGTGGTCCCCTGTGCATGTGGAATTCTTTTTCATTATCGTTGCAATGGAATGAGAAACGTTTAATTAAATCCGGGATGGGCTTATATAACCCAGAAATCATAATTGTGTACATCTGTCCAAGAAACTCACCACCACATTGGACGATGAAGCTGCTGCGACATCTTTTTTTGTGTGTACTAACAAAAGATGTAAACAAATAAGTAGTCACTGTCATGATATAATAATCTAAGTATACCCATTCTTGGGATTAATGGTCTTCATTTGATTAATTTTCTGATCAGGAAAAGGCTAAGGTCACCAACGATAACAAAAACCCTCAAGGTACCCCAAGGAAGTATTCAGCAGCTTACAGGGCAATTGTGATCCGTTATGAGGAATGATGTGTACCTCTACTGCCATTTAAAATCATTGTCAAGGTCGTTTACCAGTGACACGAAAGGTGGTTGGTTCATGAAGGTTAACAGTACAGGTTGACTGGTAGCGGTCGCGAACATGGTCCATGACTGACTTCCATGTTACCTTTAAAACTAGTATCTGTGATGTAATATACAAGATTCACATTGGTGAAAGATATGTTGATGCCCTGTGAAGGTTTACGTGGATGCCAATCAGTTAGAAATACACGGCCTCACGGAAACATTTTGTGTTCTTGTGAAAGGGCGAGCTGTTGAGAATCATTCTTATATCAGTGCTGATTTACTGTTAAGTGTCCATAGCTAATCACCTTTCAGTACCAATTATCTACCCGTGACGTTTCGGGGGTAGAATAGGTCTTTAGCAACCCATGCTTGACGTAAAAGGTGACTATGCTTGTCGTAAAAGGCGACTAACGGGATCGGGTGGTCAGGCTGCTGATTTGGTTGATGCATGTCATCGATCCCTATTGCGTGGATCGATGCTCATGATGTCAATCACTGGATTGTCTGGTCCAGACTCGATTATAAACAGACCGCCATCATATAGCTGGAATATTGCTGAGTGTGGCGTTAAACAACAAACCAACCAATTATCTGTTGGCTTCTCTTGTTACGTTTCCACTTTTGTGATGTTCTTTCAGGTACACAAATAGGTTCTCTGCCTCTTAGCATTTACCTAATGGAGTAATATATATATATATATATATATATATAAATATATATATATATATATATATATATATATATATATATATGTATACAACGTTCAGGGTATCTACACTCTTCAAAGAAACGCACAGGTAGATTTTTAGTAAACTTATTGTACCTTATATAGTCAATATATTTAATTCAATATCATAGATACAAATGTGATATTTTGGTGCTCGATAGTCACATGTTGTACAAAGGCATTGGAAACTGTTCATTATCCTGTCACATAAAGCCACAAGGTGGCGCTGAACTCGGGCAGCAATCACGGCCCTGCATCTCCTCGGCACTGACTGGATACGGGTACGAATTCTGTCCTGCGGAATTCTGCGTCATTCTGCTTGTAACGCGTTGGCCAGATGTGGGAGTGTTTGCGGCGTGTTCTGACTTTGAAGTACACGTCGATCGAGGTCATCCCAGATGTGTTCGATTGGCTTGAGATCTGGAGATCTCTACGACCAGGGCAAGACGTTGAAGTTGGCATTATGAAGGTAGTCTACCGTGACACGAGCTGTGTGCTGTGGAGCGTTGTCCTGTTGAAACAGCTCCCCCTGCCGGTCAATGATTTGAAAAAGGTGAGGTTGAAGAATTTGATTCATGTAGCGATTTGCTGTCACATTTCCCTGAACCACAACCAAGTCAGATCTCATGGTTAAGGATATGGGCCCCCACACCATGACACTACCGCCACCGAAATTGTCGAATTCACGTACACAACGTGGGGCAAAACGCTTATTGCTACGACGGTAAACACGTTTTCTCCATCTAGAAGGTGAAGAAAAAATCGATTCATCGCCAAACCACACTCGTCTCCAGTTTCTCAAATTCCTGTCGCTGTCGATGGATCTGTTACAAAACAGGGACGATAACTGGTCTTCTGGGTCGGATTCCAGCCTCGCGAAGATGGTTCCTGAAGTCTGGTCCGATATGCTCTTCCAACCAGAGATGCGCCTGCAGTCTCCGTAGCTGTGGCATTGCGATGACGTAGGTGGAACAGTCAAATGTAGCGATCCTGTGCAGGGCTGGTAACTCTTGGTCGGCCGGTTCTAGGTCGGTCTGCAGTGGAATTGAACTGTGTGTATTGGTCCCAAAGGAGGCAAATGCTGCTGAGGTGGACGTTCAAGTGGCGTGCAACAGAAGACTGCGATTCCCTTCTTTCGATACGTCCTATAGCTATGTTCCGATCAGCAGCGCTGAGTCTTGGCATTTTCGAAGTTGAAAAATGTTGACAATTGAATGACAAATTATTGACTTATGCTTGTCTTTTTACAGCCCCTACAACGAGTTACGAATGTCATAACTTGCACGTGCGTTTGCTTTACTGTTATCCTCCATGACATTTTTTAACAAGCGTGAAAACAATGCCGTTTAAGACATTGCAAATCGACAATAGCTGCGTTTTGACGCACCGTTTATCGAATATCAGGCCACCGACATTTTCCAATAACATATATCCAATTTGTATACCTGATTTTATGTGCAGTCAGCTTCATACTACCTGTGCGTTTCTGTTTATTTGGAAGAGAGTACTTACTCATTCATCAGGTCAATAAATGTACCCTCCATGTGCTCTAGCAACTCCCTTGCCTTTTCCCTCATCTATTAGATTCCCTAAATGTTCCAAAATGTAGTCTTCGCAAATGTCTTTTTGTGAAAACACCAAAGCAAGTCAAAATGCAAGTTTAAACTGTTCACAATCAGGGCTCGATTTAACATGATATAGGTTACACACAATCAAATGTTTTCCCATATACTTCTATAGTGACGTTATATATATTTTTTAAATAACTAAGCATTCAGCAGCCATTTAATAAATGCACGCGTGTGCCCAGTTTGGCCTCAAAGCAGCAATAAAAACAAAAAAGAATTGACTAGCTTAGCCAGCTCCTTTTCCGAGTACAGGAAGCTAAACACACTATCCCCAATTCCGCACCAAATGTCACTTGCTTGAAAATATCTGTGGTCACATTCAGCATAAGTCATCATGTTAAAAAAGACTGTGCTAAATCTAGAAAAAATCATTGTCAGTTTTAATTACTGGATGGAAGTACATTACAAAAAATCACATCCAATCACAGGTGCCAGACGATTAAAAAGGCAATAAAAATCCTTCATCTTTTTATACCTATAAGAGAAACTAGAACATATTTACGAGTAACCGGAAGTAGAAAAGATTGTTGACATTCAACATATGGTCTCTGACCATGTTTATAAGTTACATTTGAATGATTAGTACATAGTTTAAAAAAAATATGGACAAATCAGGAAGCATACATCGTAGCATATTCTAAAAAATCTCCTACTTGCCACGACAAATAGTTAAAAATTCATAATTATGCATGTTGGCCATTCTTGCAAGAGGGTTCATTCATGAAAACCAGTGCGGTCTTGTCTAAAGTCTTGGCATCTAAAATATGATCGTTTGTGATCTAAAATTTGTATATGCTTATGGAGAAAGAGTTGTTAGTAAACTCATTTAGGTTTGGATTTGTCATTCCAAAATCGAAATTTGCTTGTGTTTTGAAACTTTACCCGTGATGACATTTTTTTTTATCTTTTTGTCTGCACGGATGCACATATATGTACGTCTTTGATTTCTGCAAGGATTAAAGTGACAAAAATATGGTTTATGCCTTGCATATAACTGAATACGATTTGACAATCAGGTATTAAAAATGTAATGCAAAGCTCCACGCAGTGATGTAGGAATCAGTTATAATTATGCACATGTACAGTAAGAGATGGCATGCAGTATCGAGTAAGTTTTTATTGACATTTTTAGGTACAGTAGATCAGGGTTCACTCAAGGAATTTTCTGACATGGGCCCTTCATGTGAAAATTTTAAATATTCCCGAGGTACGCCCATACAGCAGAATGTTAAAATGCCTCATTGTATTTGAAAACGTGGGCGTAGAATTATGGCTGGTAGATAATTGTATTCAAGCAATACGACTATTTTATGTGTGTAGTTGAAAATAAGAGTGTCAATGCAGATTAAAATATTGAAAGATTTGCGCGATTTTCAATCGCGCTGAATGAATGTTAATGCGATATCTATAACAACTATGCGAGAATATCGCGGAATCGCGGCCTATATATATATTGCTTCTCAGAAAAAATAATGAAAATTGGATTTATATTTTTTATATATAATTATATATAAATAAATATATATATATATATATATATATATATATATATATATATATAGTTGACCTGATGAAGGAGTAAGTATATACTCCGAACGTTGTGTTCCTCATAATAAAGAAGTCAACATCCCAAAAGTGGTATATATATATGACTAATACAACTGTTATGCGTCGCCAAGAACTACAAAACGCTTTCATTACACCTGAAGAGCCGTTAAACGGCGAAAGATCTTGTGACGATAAAGGAGTTTTGACAAGCACGAATGTCTGGACTGGTTTTTTTCTATATTTAATTTATACACCTGATGAAATCACTGCTTATATATAGACACACAAACATTCTCTGTACTTAAGCTGTTTCAGTGTGTTTCAGTATTACAATGGGTACTTGGAGACTGTGTGGAAAGTGTTTCCAGAGTACGTCAATGAGTTAACCGGCCTAACAGATGGAGCGGGGGTCAGTTTCACTGAGGTGAGTGTGTGTGCGTGGATGCGTACGTACGTGCGTCTGTGCGTCCGTGCGTGCATGCACGTAAGGTAGGGACAGTGACTGAATGTTTTCTTTAACACCACTGTTATTCTGCTGCCATATCACATAAAGACATGGGAATCGACCTTGCATATTGAGCAAATGCCGGTATATGTGCCTAGATCCATATAATGATCAAACCTAGCATTCGTGTTGTGGAAACACACTATCTACTCAGTCACCCTACCACGCCCCCATGTCTTGTTTTTCAATTACCAAAATTCATTCGTTAACTCAGTGAAATTTTAATTATCGTAAATACGATTATTGGCACTGGGATATATTTACGTGTTAATATTTATTCTCCTCTTGGAAATAGGTGTGCTATAAGTGGATGCATTGTGTATAGCACGTTTACAAACCTTCTGTCCTCCAACTTGTTTTCATAGACCCAGGCCAGTGAAGATCCTGGGTAGAATAGGTCTTCAGCAACCCATGCTTGCTGTAAACGGCGACTTTTCTTGTCGTAAGAGGCGATTAACGGGATCGGGTGGTCAGGCTCGTTGACTTGGTTGATGCATGTCATCGGCCCCGATTGCTTGGATCGATGCTCATGTTGTCAATCACTAGATTGTCTGGTCCAGACTCGATTACTTACAGACCGCCGTCATATAGCTGGAATATTGCTGAGTGCGGCGTTAAACAACAAACAAACAAACAAATCATAGACCTAATCCAGCAGGCCTGGGAAGAGTTAAGTGAATGAGTGAGTGAGTTGGTTTAACGCCGCTTTTAACTGTGTTCAAGTTATATCACGGCGTGTCAGCTTAATTTGGGAAGAAAGCCTGAATTGATGCAGATCTTAGATGTTTACCACTTCGGTGAAACCCATGAGCACGGGTATGGTGCAGACAAACCTAGAAACATAATCGGGGCGAACCGGGATTCGAACCCACAATCATATGTTTCTGGCGTGTCCAAGGGACGCAACTTTGCATAGCGAATTGCGGCGCCTTAGATGTATGTGCCCCCCGTGCCTCCGGGAAGAGTTGAAATAACACGCGATTTACTGGATTACAGGCCTTTTCGTCGATGATCACACCTGAGATGCAGGCAGTGATGAAGGTAAAGGGGGCCCAGTCCTGTAGCGATGTGTACGTGGCGGACCAACAGGTGGGCACTCAGGCAACTGGCCATCTCCTGAAACCCAAGAAGAATAAGTCATGGGGCATTCACCTGGGTTTGGGGGAAGCCTTCCCAGTCACCTTCAATATACCTTGTTGACAGATCTTGTGATCAGAATGAATATGTACTTTGCAAAGTCTTTTGGATAATTCATATTTAACAGTCTCTGATAATGTTAATTACATACATGGGAGATAACTCTTCATACGAGATGTGTACATTTTCGTTACCAGGCCATATGCAGCATAATAACATCAGGTACAGACAGTTGAATAAGAATACGACAATTACTTTTTAGTATGTAAGAATGCATATCTGGACACTTGTTCAATATTTTATAAATATAAGGAACAATTCCCACTTGAGGTAAGCTGCAAGGTTTTTCAATTCAGTTCCCGTTAGATCCAGTACTAACCATCTTCAGATCGCCATCGGTCACAACGAAGACTCACCGGAACTGGTTGTTAAAGGGAGGATATTCATGGTGCATGCAACTATTGTGGATCAGGATGACAGCATTGTGGAGCAATTTTCATCACTTACTCTTCCAGGTAGTTATTAACGTCGACACACGTTGCTTGTGTTGGCTTTCAGTACATTTGATGCTGAAACAACGCGGAAGACTGAGTAAATGGTTCCTGAGGATACGCTGACACTGCAAGGAAATTCTCTCAACTTGCAGTAGGCTCCCTGACATTCATTCCAATGGACTACAGTGACCAGAAATTTACTTACGTGTGGTGAAATGGGGTTGAACGTCGCGTCCAAGATTATTGCACTTATATAACGACGTGTGTGTGTGTATGTGTGTGTGTGTGTGTGTGTGTGTGTGTGTGTGTGTGGCTGCTTGTACTAGTCCTGATTGATGCCGATTTATAGTGCTAGCCCACTGAGATACCATGCCGCAGTTGTACATGAATACCCCACTCAGACACAGTATACTGACTCCGAGCCGACCAGACCCCTTAATGCCAAGGGTAACAACAAGTAACATATTTAACGTATTTTGGTATGACGCGGCCGGGGAATGATTTACTAATATGGACTTATAACACATTACTTTTTGTATCTCAATCACTTTCTCTGTAGTCAGTTGTAGCTTACCACACATCAAGACATGTGCTGTTAACAAGTTAGCCACGTTGCGATACAGCCATGCAGCCCTCACATTTGCATGAATATAACAATGTATAGCGGAGTTGGGAGACTACACTATATCTCAGTGTAGCACGTTGTAACTGATCCTCAAAATACGCACACATGTGTATGCTGTGAAAGAAATGAGGCCGTCACTATGTATTGCATTGTTTCAGGTTTACTTTCTGGAAGTGCGTTCAGTTTCAATGGAGACGGCAAAGTTTTCACCTTTAATTCACTTTCTCCTGCGACTGTTGAAGCTGACAAAATACGTAAGAGAGCTGGCAGTTGTAAACCCAAGAATATCGGTTCTCCTTAAATGTTCCAAAACTCGAAAAACAAGCTTACATCGCATGCCTCCAGATAAGTTAAGAAGTCAGTTCTCCGATCTGATGACATCACAGCCAGTTTAGAAAACGCACATGGTTACTGAACTGTAGCTTTATCTACTGATGTACCCATCCGAGATGAGAATATAAGACCAGTGAAAGCGCCTCATCTGTGTCATATACAGATATTTTGATTTATGCATGTATCCACAAGACTGTATGACGAGAGGGATGTCTTCAGTTTTCCAATAAACAACTTTCCCTTCATGTCGAGCAAGGGGCGGTCAGGCAGCCTCGTGCTTAAAGCCCTCGCTCCAGGTTCGATTCCCGACATGGGCACAATGTGTGAAGTCTTTGTTGTCAATATTTCACAATTACAGTTTGTTAGATACATTCAAGAAAACTCTTTCTACCACGATTTTTAATCAAGGCTACAACATTCAAAGCCTCAGTAAAGCTTTCAAAAAGCTGTAAGGTACACACAAATTTGTCGCTTCAGTGATATATACGATGTCCAGTGTTCCAGTGTTTGTTCGGGTCAAGGGTTGACTTGCTTTTGCATATGCCTGTGACGGTGCCACCGGTTGGGCTGTATGCGCTCACCTTTTCGCGAAGACTTGGATATTTCTTATGATCATGGAATCAAACGTTTTGTCTGTCTATTTTCAAGTAATTTCATGCTCCTAGTTAAATTAAGACGAAACATAAATCATCGTTCGGCCTAACCTCACGGAGCTCGGGTCTTCGGCCATCCATGCTTGTCGTAAGAGGTGACTTACGGGATCAAGAGGTCAGTCTCGCTGAATTGGTTCAAATTGGTTGAATTGGTTGAAACATGTCGTTGTATCCTAATTGTGCCATGCTGATGATGTCAGTCACTGGATTGTCTGGTCCACACTCGATTATTTACAGATTACCAGTATATAGCTGTAAGCAGACTTAAACAACAAACAAACCAACTTTCGGCCTAACGACATTATGGTGGGAGTACAAGTTTTGGAATACATGTCTTCTGCGTACATGTATAAATGAAGTTAAATGGGAAGGTCTAATGACTCTAGGGGCGGTCGGGTAGACTAGTGGTTAAAGCGTTCGCTCGTCACGCCGAAGACCCGGTTTCGATTCCCGACATGGGTACAATGTGTGAAGCCCATTTCTGATGTCGCCCGCCGTGATATTGCTGGAATATTGCTAAAAGTGGCGTAAAACATACTCACTCACTCACTCTAATGACTATAGCTGAATTGATAAGAAAATTATATACATTACCAGTACAAGGACATCACTTCCGGTGTAAACCACACACCGAAACGGATTAATAAATTTGTTTGGTTTTACAGCGCCTGGAACATACATCTAGTCATGTTACAGGTTGCCAGCCTAAAGAGGAAGTCCGGCAAGGACTTTAGAATCCTCCTTTTTGTTCATTGGTGAAATTTAGATCACAAAATGTCATCTGAAATAACACCTTCCAAACAGATATACTTACGTGGTTATCACACAGATTATGTTGTCTCTAAGCACAGAAACATGTTTCGTAGCTGGGCCCGTAGTTTATGTAACATTGAGTCACATGATACCCGTGCCCGTCAGTGGTGATGGTGAGCCTGCTTGAACTTTCAGCTCGTTACTTCATGAACAGAGCTACATTGGGCGTGAAGTCACAGAAGGACCTCGAGGATCTACTGCATGGTCTGGGTGTTGGGGCGGCATATGGCTTCAAGTAAGAGCATATGACTAACACATTCATGAGGCAGACACAGGGTATTAAATGCATGGTGTGGGTGTATGCCCGACGAATGGCTTCAATGAAGGCGAGATAACTCATACATTTGTCAGGCAGCCCCGGGGTATCTACTGCATGGGTGTAAATACAAATTGTTAGACATTTTTAGAATTAGTGGAGAAATAGAATCTTTAATGTAGTCCGCAAGAGATTTAGAGAAATATGCCGGCGTAAAAAAAGATGTATTTGAAGAACCTGCTGTTGTAAATATTCATAACTCCTGTAATGATAAGAGAAATTCAAAAACCTTTTTGTCCGAACTGAAATTTCACCTACGAAAGCCACCCGTAACAGCACCCAGTATTGGTGTTTCTCAGTGTACTGATTACTTTAAAACTGTTTTGAATATTACTGATAGTAACTGATGTGGATTTTGATTCGTTCTGCAAAGCTGTTATTACAGAGCATCCAGTAAATAACATGAATTGTCATGCGTGAAACGATGAGGGATGTTGACAGTTTGCTAAATCAAGGCATAACGGCTAACAGAAAGATAATGTTCATGTTGTAAATAATTATATGGGCATTTCCTTGACGGATATTTGTGGGAAGGTATTTTACCAAGGTTTTGAATGATAGAATAAAGCATTTTGTTGAGTTATATGCTAAACTCCAGGAGTGTCAGGCTGCCTACCAAAAAGGATATTCCACAGTGGATAACATGCCTATTCTTCAATAATTAGTACAGAAATATGTGTCAAAGTCAAAAGGACGATTTTACTGTATGATCAGAGACTTCCAGAAAGCTTTCGACGCAATTAATATGGATCATCTTTGGTTTGTTCTGCATCCAAATGGAATTCATGGGAAAATATTTACTATCATACAGGACATATATTCTAAAACTCTTGCTTGTGTTAAAACTTCAAAGAGTAGCATCTCAGATTATTTTAACAGTCTCTGGTGTACGACAAGGGAGCGTTTTAAGTCCTCTTTTGTTTTCGTTATTCATAAATCAGTTGGAAGAGGACATCCAACAGTGTGGTGTTAGAGGGATATTTGTATATGGGGATTTACTGGGATTGGCTCCTATCTTATATGCGGATGACATGTGTATATTTGCAGATTCAGTTCTTGAACTGCAGAAGAAGATTGATGTATTACACAAATTTTGTAACAAATGGGGCTTAAAAGTCAACATGGATAAAAATGATATCTTAGTTTTTCGTGATGGTGGTAAGTTAAGGAACTACGAGAAATGGAAACTAGGGCATATACGTGTCATGTTTTCTACTTATTTCAGTTATTTTGGGTATCATAATTTCAAACAGGCTGTATTGGTCGAGAACAGTTTAGACATTAGTTTTGAAAGCAAGTGAACCTTTAATTCCTATAAAACAGCTTAGTTATAAACTATGTTCGACTCTCTATTATTTTATATTGTGATTCCTACACAAGATGATTAAGATACTGGTTTAAGATTCTTAATATGTCTCCAGAGAGCTTTCCAGAACGGTGTTACGATATGTTAGTTAGGTTTGAGGCCGTTGGTAGGAATACATGGGTTTCTACTATTAAGAATATGTTATATTCTAATGGCTTGAGACATGCGGCTTCAAGGTGCTGGTGATCCTAAATATTTTATAAGTGAGGTCATACTGAGGGTTAAGGACTTTCATGCACAAACATGGTATTCTGAAGTGTCTGGATGCTCAAAATTAGAACTGTATTCATTATTTAAGACATCATTATCACTTGAACGTATGCTTACGTATTGGAGAACTGGGAATTATTATTAACACAGGAAGGAGGGATGGCATCGATAAGACACTCTATTTTTGTCCATTGTGCCAGTTAAGGGCAGTTGAAAATGAAATTCATTTCATTCTGTTTGCCCTATTGATGAAGGTATTCGCTCAAAATATTTCCCTTATTTAGACTTTATTACTAGTAATAATAATCGTAAAGACACACAAGGTGGAATGTTAAACTCTTTTGATGTATACGGTCTTGAGAACTTAGCCAAATATGTTAAAGATGCTATGTGTCTTCATTCTTCTTTCCTGTAAATATTATTTCATGCAGCACTTGATGTGAAACTAAATTGTATATATCGGTACCTGGGCCTGATTACCGATTAAATTGATAGATTGAAAAGATAACTCAAGCATTTGTCAGGCAGCCCCGATGTATCTACTGCATGGCCTGGGTGTCTGAGCAGCATATGGCTTCAAGTCAGTGGATATATATCATACATATATATATCGGACTCGAATATTAATTTTAAAAAATGTATTAATTGATTGTAAAGTCAGCTCTTTAATGGTAGAAATCATAAATGTTTCTTTTCAGTTTGAACTATGCAGATATCAGAAACAATTCTGGTTTTCTCACAAACTATGAGGTTTCCCCGATTTCTGGAGCTGCACGGAATCTTGTAACCAAGACAATAGTTGCCAGGCAGGCAGTCCCAGGAGTGGACATTACAGGACATTTCTTTCACTTCAATATGTGAGTAAATACAGAGGAGGAGGTTGTTCTTTCTTCTTGTTACAAGTCTGTGATATGTCTTTAGCGAACAGTGTTTACATATGCATGAACTTGATACAATCTGATCGGGCTAATTCATTGAACAAAACGTCCTCATGTCTCTTAAAACATTGGCTAAGGTTCCCTTTTATGCGACAAATATGTAAAAAAGCATTGTTGTCTTCATCGTTACTGTAGATCCTAAATGTCGCCCAAGGTAAATATTTTCGTGGCCTATTTCAGGTATGAACGCACAAACATCACACAACTAGGAATGGATATTGTCTCTTCACAACATCGGAAAGCTCGTGCCCAAACGCTTCCACCTCCTGTTAATGTTCTGGGTATCAGACGGATACTTGGAGATGAAGGGGACAGTCAGTATCCCCTCTACCGTACACCAAGACCCTCAGATGCATTCCATACCACAATCACAGGTACTAGATACTACAATACCAAACAAATACGATCATTTGTTGATAACATCAAAGTGTATCAGTGCCATTATGCATGTCATAACTGTCTCACAGGTTGGTGATGTATGGTGTTTCAGTGGTATTATGTACATCATATCAAACCGACCAGGCAAAGAGGTCATACCTGTAACAGGTTGTGATGTATTGGTGTATCAGTGAGATTATATATATCATATCAAACCCACCAGACAAAGAGGTTATCCCTGTCACAGGTTGGTGATGTATTGGTGTATCAGTGAGATTATATATATCATATCAAACCCACCAGACAAAGAGGTTATCCCTGTCACAGGTTGTTGATGTATTGGTGTATCAGTGAGATTATATATATCATATCAAACCCACCAGACAAAGAGGTCATACCTGTCACAGGTCGGTGATGTATAAGGTGTTTCTCCGAGATTATACATATCGCATCAGACGCAACAGACAAAGCCGTCATAATTGTGAAGTAAATGTATAGTTGCTGGTCTTTACACTGTTTATCTTTCATTCACAAACAGCATAAAAGGAAACTGTTACAATTAGTGATCATGACTGAGGAAAACTGTACACTGTCAGCACCATCATCTTCCAGTGGCAGACAGCTATATTATTCAGGGCCTGCTATTTTATATTCTGAGGGGGACCTGGCTGCAATATTAAATTGAGCGGTTCAATCATCATATTTATACGCGGTTTCTAGACCTACCTCAATGAGTGAAACAACATCTAAAACATCCATTATTTTAACAAAGACATCATATGATAAGGTGATCATTACCCTCTTGTGTTGCCGTGTCGTTAATCCCATGTAATAGGAATAAAATAGAGGTTATATATTTGTCAAAGGATCGTAAAATACACTTCTATTTCAATACATGATACTGACGATACGGAAACATAATCGGCTTATATTTATGTTTTTCCAGCATTCTCGAGAACAGCTGATTTTTTTTTCAAAATAATCCAGCTTACCTGTGGATGTATTGACGACAATCTAAACACAGGCCAGTTTCAAAACGGTTTATCGTTGCGGCACAATGAACAATAACTCTTAACATAGACATGGATGTATTGACGACAATCTAAACACAGGCCAGTTTCTAAACAGTATATCGTTGCGCACACTGAACAATAACTCTTAACATAGACATGGATGTATTGACGACAATCTAAACACAGGCCAGTTTTAAAACGGTATATCGTTGCGCACACTGAACAATAACTCTTAACATAGACATGTAATATAATTTGACTATATGACAAGTTGTAATGCTGCTAACGTCCTGTTTGTCACTGCCTCCAGGTATTTTTGTGCTCGACGACTGTGTCCTCATGATGTACACGAGCAACCCTTGGACAACACCACGTCCCATCTCAACTATCAACCTACCAACAGGAGTTATGTGTCGGAAAAAACACTAAGTGCAGTGTTCGGCCACACGTGTTTCGGCCCCCTATGTGCTTAATTCGTTAATCTTTCTTTTACTTGTGTTGAACTGTTCTCTGTCAAAATGGACGGCACACCTCAGCCAATTGTACTCTGGCGCCATCCTGAATCTCATGTTGCCTTCACTGCGCTGTTTACATTCAGCAGACCACATCATGCAAAACTACTTCTGGAAATTCTCTACAAAACAGAGGACCGGAGATAATCTCGTGAAACTGAGTGAATTGTTTTGTAAATCTAATTGAATTGTAATGTAAATCTAATTGAAACGTCATGTAAATCTGATTGAATTGTCATGTAAATCTGATGAATTGTCATGTAAATCTTATTCAATTGTCATGTAAATCTGATTGAATTGTCGTGTAAATCTGATGAATTGTCATGTAAATCTTATTCAATTGTCATGTAAATCTTATTCAATTGTCATGTAAATCTTATTCAATTGTCATGCAAATCTGATTGAATTTTATATCCAGGCAACAACTGACTTGATTTGGAAGAAGAATGTGGTGCCGATGCAACTGATTTACACAGGTCCGTAAGTGTTGGCGCAGATTAGGAATAACACAGTTTGGTGTAACACAGACCAGAGGTCCATCTGGGATTCTAACCCACACTCTCAGAGAGACTCACCTCATGTACACTTCCATGGGACGACGATGCCAGTCAGTTATGACCTTGACCTTGAAATCTACTGTTACATGTGGGTCATATTGAACCTGGGTTAATAGAAATGATGTGTGCGAATATTGAACAATCAATTACCATCTGTTGATTATTTATATGACATATAAACGATGCATATAAAAAATCACTTTTGCGTTTCTATTTTTGTTTAACAGCAAGTGGCTGAGTGAATGAGTGAATTAGATGAGTTTAACACTGGATCCCAATCCCTCAGGATTGTTTGTCTACAGTCTCAAACATTATTATTTTTCAAGAATTATCTGGTGCAATTTATATTTTTCGAAAAAATCCCAATTCAAAATGTGTCATTTGATAATGAAATATTTTGAATATATATTATATTCATAATGTTGCGTAAAAAACAACAGCGCCACAGAATATCAGTCTCGATCATCTGCCGTAACGGTGTCCTTCCATTAGTTAGACGTCCCAATAGTTAGACGGCTTATAACAACACTTTAAACGGTTGAGTGCACACTAATCCTTATGCTTGTTACCTCAGACTTTAAAATGGAATAGTCAAGATAAGATCTGACAAACAAAGCAAAGCAGCTTTACATAGATACTTTAGTATTATACTTAACATTTAATGACACTTTACATTTGATAAATTTTATACAGTTTGTAACAACACTTTGTGACAGTCTTTGGTAATGTACACTTTACATTTAATAACTTTTACAGTTTATTTATCCCAGACGAAGCAAGTGTCCACAATCATCTAAATACTCAATAGCAGACTTGTCACCCTGCTGCAGCTGATCTTTGAGGCGTACCAGGCGGTTCTCTGTCTCTCTGTAGATTCTCTTGAGGCAGCGTGGTGCCGCACCAAAGTTCAATTGCATCACCTTAGTCCTTTCACTGAACTCGACTTTCTGGATGACTTCAATGAATCTGTAGATGTTAGGGTGAACATGTGGCAGTAGGTAGTCCAGTCGGCTGTGGAATCCCTCAAGGTTGTTGTTGGTTCTGGGTCCATCAGTTTCGAAATGGTTCCACATGTGAATCGGGAATCTGGCGTCATCATCCAACCAGGTTCTCACAATGTAGTCGTTAAAGTCCCCAGCTTTAGGCACATCTGGTGTCGACTCCATAGCTTGAACCCACGCATCCTGAACAAAGGGAATGGGCAGCAGAGCTAGCCCAGCTGCTCGTCGAATCCACTGGGTCACACGGGGGTCCCCTTTATACATGACTGCAAGTCCAAGATTTTGAGTCTTTCTCCAAATAGCCTGGGTGAAATGAAAAAAAACATCCCTTGATCACTGCTTGCGGAAACTCTGTCTCGATCGCACTGACAACGGCTTGTCGATCTGTATCTTGCTAGGTGACAGAGGTCTGTTGAGTCGCTCTTGAACTTCTGTCTTCAGTTGTCGAAAAAGCCGGCCATGCTGTGAAGGTACCATCGATGTAAAGGGTGTCAGCTTCCTGGAGGGCTTGTATCTGTTCTGCAGTGGAGAACGTTAGGATCTTGTCATCGTCGCCGTCGGTGAACAGTAGAAAGGGACGTCCATCTGTTGTCTCTGACCATTTGTCTTCAATGTCTACTGCTGACCGCGAATGGGTAACGCTGGAATGGTTTTGCGACGATGCCTGAAAAAGAGCAAAGGAACAGTTACACATATGTTACTCGAAATATTGATAATGATTTCATTAACTTGAAACTGTTAAGAGCGAAACAAGTTATGTGGGACCTAATAAGGAGAAGTTAATTCTAACCAAGTCAAAAATACGCGATGATATATACCTGTAAAGTGCACTTTTCACGTTCTGAAATGATGGCATCGCTGGCTTCATGTTGGCTTCATCTACTTGGGTGACTTGCTCCTCGTACAATGCCTGCATCTGTGTGGTGTCTTCTCGCGCCCTTTTATGAAGATTGCTGACAAAGTTCACTCTGGTTTCATCTTCAGGTGGATGGTTATGTTCCTACTGATTGCGAAGAAAGTCACCGACAGTCGTACATTTCCCATTGCAGGTCTTGACGACACATCTCCAATGTGTGCAGGTTTGCCTCTCGCGGTTTCTGTTTTAAATATATCCATCTAAAACCAACTGCTTACTTCCACGCCGAGAGGTGATGTACTCTACTTTCCTTAAACCAGCCATATCGATACTGATAATGATACGTACCCCAAGATCATTTTTATTTGTTTGAAGAGTAGATAATCTAAACTCAACTCCTTCAACTGATCATACAGTAATGCAATTAAGCTTCTCCATAGTTTACATAGTTTATCTCATGCCTATTTAACCTGTGCTGAAAGGAAGGTAATTTAGGTTAACTAAGCGAAATTATGAATGGTCATTATTACCATAATGTCACACTTGCAGTAGTCAAGACGATAATATCTCTCTTGTTGAGGTTTTATTGACACATGTCAGACTTGAGTGGCACCCTGGGTTACACCGCAGCTTAGCCTTGAAACAACTGTTGGTCTGGCATTTCCTGCTACCAGCACAGTGACATCGAGTGAAACCTTCTCCTCCACAGTTGGAGCCAAAGTACACACCCCAGCGAAGTTTAATATTCTTGTCAGTAGCAACATCTTTAATTGCATAGAGCACTGTCGCACACACCAAACTGATTACGGGAGTACTTCCTATTCAGTATTCCACTTTCACAGCAGCATCCATTGCCACTGCACTCCATTAAAACACATATGTTTCTGGCATCAGAACGTAAATGGACTTCGTAAATTTCAACCGTGATGAAGGTGTGTCGTCATCCGGTTTTACAGCTTTTAAGACAGTAGGGATGTGATCATTTCTGAATCTGTGAGGGCGGAATAAGTTCCAGTGACATGATGTAAGTAGGTGCTTGAATCGCCATTAAAGACGTATAAAGTATTATCAGAAATAAAATCTTCAATGACTTTCCCCCTATTGTTTGTACTTGCACTTCCCCATAGAGGGTTATAGCCCATTCAAATCGCACATGATGATGCAGGGCTCAAGAAGCTGACTATATAGATTCAGAAGATCAAACTGTCACGAGATATACAGAGAGCACAAAGTCAATGCAACGTGCAATGTAAGGCGTATAACAACAGCTTGAGATTAGTATTAATAGGGCCTCCCAGAAGAGAGCAATAGTCCAGCAACATCAGGACGGGGACACCACACATTGTACCCATGTCGGGAATCGAACCCAGGACTTCGGCGTGACGAGCGAACGCTTTAACCACTAGGCTACCCGACAGCCCCTCTCACGAGGAGAGCATGAATGAAGACGGTTGTACTGCTTTAGTTCAAATGTGTCCCCGTCAAATGTGTCTGTATGTTAAAGATACTGCTGAAGGCTTTTATAATCTTGTAATATTAAGTGAAAAAAATGTCCTGAGGCCTCTGCAATTCCACTGAATTAAATGTGTGTTTCTCATTAAGGCGGAGTAAAAGGGGATCGACTCCTGTCTTTGTTTTTGGGAGAGTGGCCACTTGTACGACCTCGTGCTCGTGTGAGGGGATACTTCCGTATCAATATCCTCGCGCGACCACAACTTGTTATAGAGTTGCACAGGATCTTAGAGAGCCTTTGACACTCGGTCAGTTTGATTTTTCTTTTGGGGAATTTCGACATCATTTATTGCTGTAGGCTTTGCGACTGTTTCTTGTGATGTTGAAGTGGATGCTCCTTGTGTTGATATTAAAGCTGTAACTATGTTTGTACATGGAAACTTATAATCTCATCACAAATATTCAGTATGATTGGGGAAAACATCTAAGTACTGTTAACCATTTGGTCCAGTTAGTCATTTTTTTTAAGAATGAACTTATTGATAGCAATGCAGTGTGTCTCTTTTTCGATCTAAAAAGCACATGGAAAAATGCTATTTTAAACGATTTAAACGACTTTTGTTTTGGAGTATGTCTGCCACAATTTATATTCATGTTTTTGAATGGCAGAAAAAATAAAGTACGAATGGGTTCAACTCTGTCTGATCATTATTATCAGGGTGTCCTACAGGGCGGTAATTTGACTGTCATATTGTTTAGGATGAAGATAAAAGATGGTGAATGGTTTTAGATTGATGGATCTCTTTTTGTGCATGATTTTGATATTTCTTGTCGTGGTAAAAACATGCATACTATAGAAAGGCAACTTCTGTTATGTTTGAATAAAATCCGTAAATACTCTTTTGAAAATGGTTTTAAATTTCGGAAGCCAAGAGCAACTCTATACATTTTTCCAGAAAATATAAGCCGCATAAAACGCTGATTTTGTTTTGGACAAAGCTCATGTCAAAGAGGCCAAGTTCCATTGTATTGTTTTTACCATCACTGTCCTTTCTACCACACATTAGTTATGTAAAGAGTAAGTGCAGAAAGTCCCTTGATTTATTTAACTTTGTTTCATATTTCAAGTGGGGAGGGTTTCCATATTGTGGCCTGGGGAATGTTCACCCGCTCTTCTTGCAGTGCTTGTGCCAACTGTCGGAGGTTTTGTGGTTGTTGCTATGTTTATATCGAACACGCTTATAACGAACTGGTGGATATAACAAACTGTCTTATTTGGTCACTGCATAATTTATAACGGGCTCAAAGTTTGTTTATTTGTTGTTTAACGCCGCACTCAGCAATATTCCAGCTATATGACGGCGGTCCGTAAGTAATCGAGTCTGGACCAGACAATCTAGTGACTGATATCATGAGCATCGGTCCACGCAATTGGGATCGATGACACAAAATATGTTGAACCCACTAGTTCATTTGGGATTCAAGCCCACTGCCCTGTGAATAAGGTGACCGGGAAGATAGTAGCTCGGTATCAGCGAAAGATATCTGGTACTTATTTATTATTGAATAAGACGGATACAGTATTGTCTTCCATTTAGTTGGAAAGTCATTTAGCCAAGAACTTTCACTTAAGCTTCAGATATCACGGCGAACTGATATCTTTCGATAGTGAGTGAGTGAGTTGTGTTTAATGCCGCTTTCAACAGTATTCCAGTTATATCACGGCGTGTCAGCTTAATGTGGGATGAAAGCCCGAAGAGATGCAGGTCTCGGACGTTTACCACTTCGGTGAAACCCACGAGCACGGGTATGGTGCTGACAAACCTAGAAACATAATCGGGGCGAACCGGGATTCGAACCTACAATCATAGGTTTCTGGCGTACCCAGGGGACGCAACTCTGCACAGCGACTGGGCCACCCGTATTCCCGATATCTTTCAATAATTGTCAAACAGTCATTTCCCTTCCACTGATTCACCCAACTGAACTAGAAATAAAATAGACGAGTGAAAGCGTCTTATCTGTTTGGTATTGTACTGTTATAGTAGGATCTCAATACTGTTGAAAGGCTATGACACACATGTTATGCAAATCTTTGAAACTGCTTGTAAGCAGGTTATACTGGTTTGCTGATACGGACACGTGGTAATGAAGCTTCGGAAATGCATAAAGAGTGAGCTCTGGAACGAGACTGTTCGCTCATCGTGAACCTGCTCGATTGCATGTAGCTCAGGAGGAAGACATAGAGGCCTATACTCTTTACCAGGTACGTATGCGTGTTTGTGTCAGCATCTTAACCTATTCATCTTGACATTAGCATCTACAAATGCAGTGCCAACGTTTATTATACGAACTTTCTGGGCAAAGCTGTCGTTTGTTGCCGTAAGGCTACAAACAATTAGTTATTTGTGTAAATTGTGTGAGTGGCACAATTTAAGTTCTCAAGTAATTCATCATATATATCTGGCTGGTCCCTGACTTCATTTAGATTATTTCTCGCGGTCTAACTGAATGATGCTTAAAGGATTCTTAAAAAGGTTTTTTACACATGCTTTATATTCACTTTTAATGAATACCTAGATATATATGTTACACACTCAAGGCAGTTTAAAACAGTAACACTTCGTTATATAGCTTGAATTTGCAATCTAAAACGGACGATCATCGAAAGCATTTGGCGATTACGTAAGATAATGAGGTAGCCAGTCACGTGATCGTGTGACGTCATACCGGACAGTTGTAGCATCAAAACACACAAGTTGCGCAACGGTGCCGCGCCGAATCGCTCTCGGAAATCTTCTTTTATCTTCACCCATAATTCGACCCACAAGGTCAAAAATGGATTTGGAAGGTCTACCTCATACAGATACTGACATAGAAGTACAACCTTTTCAATTTGAACCAATTTCTGGCAGCAAGAACGACCAGAATACTGACGACGATTCCAGCAGTTCACAAGAAAACAGTGACGATCCCGATCTCGACGATGTTTTGAATAGGCCTCACACAGACTGGTATGCTAGTAATTACCGTGCCATATATTCAGGAAAACAGATTAAATATGGAATCAATCTTTCAGCTGTCACGGTAAAATGTGTAGTCACAATTACCGCAATGTTAGACCAATAATAATATGCGAAGCCACGCCTATATATATGTGACAGTAAATGCTCAAATCGCGAGTTACAAGTTAATCGGTTCAAAATAATATGTCAGACTTTTCACCTTAATTATTAAATGTGTTATAAAACTTCTTCTGGCTAAATATACCCAACAGAAGGATCGAATATGGGGATCAACCTTTCTGTGAAATACCATTACGTACGTCAGTCAATACACGTACTAGCACAGTACCCTAAATTCGTTAATGTAACATTTATCAATGTTGCCGGTGCATCGAAGTTCAATTTTATAACACATTCAATTTCCATAGCTATTGGTAAGCTGTTGTGATAGTTATTGTGGAATATAAATTTTCAAAAATGGAACACATGACATGTTAAATAATTATGAATTTTTATAGTGTGAATTTTAAAAGTGTGCCATAAATAAGAAATACGTGAAATACTTTTATTTTTAGGGAACTGTACCATAAAGAAATTGATAGGTTTGCATTTATTTATGTATTATTATAATTAGCTATATCATAATTTTGTTGATAGGTGTGACTGTGGCAACTGTATGCCTAAGTCATCCCGACCTGAGTCGAAATGTTGCCACTTTTATGCTGGGGTGAGAGAGAAACCTTTGGATTGCATCACTCAACATGAAGGATTCTCAGTAAATTTCACCAACATACACGTCCTACAGTTGGCTCTCCTTGAATTTGTGAGCTTGGCTGGCCCACTAGACGATAACGAACCAATTCATAAGTATGTTCCTTCTTAACCGCTGATAATTACTATAGTAAATGTAGCTGCATCGATTAAAATTGACATATCCTTATCATTGTAATCCATCAAATATTCTCCTAAACTGTCAGCAAGTGAAAAAGAAATATTCTTCAATGCCTTACAGTAATCGTGGTAATATATAACATGAATAAAGTGTGATCAGTTCCAAAGAAAGACCTGCAATCAAATTAAGGAACTAGAACAAAACTGAAGGTGTAAATAATTTATTTGTATACTACTTTTTAACATAATGTTAAAACATTGATCAATTAAAACAATATCTAGACTAACACCACAAAGACATGTTGGATTAATAACAGAAGTGAAGTAGCAATAAATTATGTTTGTCTGTTTAACGACACACTCAGCAATATTCCAGATATATAACGGCAGTCAGTAGATAATCGAGTCTGCACCAAACAATTCAGTGATTGACATCATGAGAATCGATCCATGCAGTTGGGATACGAAGACATGCATCAACCAAGTCAGCTGTGTCTGCGGGCTTGTCTACTCTCTACTCTCATTTGCATAGAAACTACCTTGAACTAGATCATCAGCCATATCTTTCAACATATAGATAGGCATACCATGACGATAGAACATTCTTCTGATAATAAAGATTTCCTCAGTCCATTTTTCTTGATAGTCTCTTTGAAATTGATGTCTCAAATGAGAGAGTCTCACTTGATCGCCCACTTTAAATTTAAAGGGTTTCTTCATGACTTCTGTTTGATTTCAGCTTTCGATTTGACTGGCTTTATCAAAGTGTCAATGTATTGTTCCTTCCATACTAAAGCTTTATTAGTCAGATTAATATCTGAGGGTGATCTTTCATTCAATGATCTGTGAGGTCTGTGGTTATAATCCCGGACGAGATCAAGGCCTTAATGACCGCATCCAGTGTTTTATTTTTAAGGGGCGTGTAAATACATTTATAGCTATGGGTAAGTATTTCACAACGTCATTGTCCGAGGCTATATCAGCAAAGTCAATATCCCATCCAGCATTGAGGCCTGAAGCCACCACTCTGTTCCGCTTGAGCTTGTATCTTAAAGGTCGCTGAAGCGAATAGGCTGGGTGTTTGGGATTCAAATAAATACTAGACAAATATGCTTTCCATCCGTCAGCAGGCATGGTTACACGTGAAATGAAGCCTACACGATGTAAATAGAGCTTATATATTTATCCACTACATAGCCTATCAAAACTACAGAGACGGGCCTGGGCTACATTCAATGCCAAACGTACTTGTGTTTTTATGTTAACCCGTGTATACAGCTGACTGCCTTCATTGCATACCGTCTGGCGACGTGACCTACACTACTGCCTAAAAGTTCATTCCCCTAACACGCGGTGAGAACGCATGTAACACGCATGTGACACGGGTGCTCAACGGGTTGCACACGGGGTGAGCACCCGTTGCACACGGGTGTGCAGCGCGTGTGCAACCCGTTGCACACGCGTGTGCCACGCGTGTAACACGGGACCGGGTTCCAGTTGAAGTTGACAAAATTATCAAATGAATAGTGAGATAAAACAAAACAGTGAGATGTGAAATTTGAGTTAACGAGCGGCCATTGAGCTGTGTTCACCAGACCGTAAATACAAGGTCGGCCCGTCTTAATTAGTGTTCGGTTGTTAGACTTTTATGGCATGAACCATTCCACTAGGTCCCCGTCTAGCCATTGTGGCTAGCCGACAGTAGAACAGTAGTGAGTTTAGATGCGAGTTTATTGCTAGGGGAACCCCCGTGTTGACACGATTATCGCGGGTTGGTAAATGTTCGCCATTAATAAAATGATTGTTTGTGGATTGCGAACATATTCATTTGCCCACACGAGTCATTCCATTTGATTGCAAATATAACGTTTTTCGTTCGCCAAATTTATGCTTTAGACAGTACAATTATGATATAGCCGTCACCACTACTAATGTCTCATTATTTCACGTAGGAATATGTCCCATTTCCCCACACCCCACTTTCTGTTTTGTATTTTGAAAGAATAAATAAAAGAAGGTTTTGTGTGGGACACTTTTATACTAATTATAAGAGGATGTTGTAAATGAATATGAACAGCCATGCTGTCTGACTGTTGATAGAATTTGAGATCTTCACAATCACCGGGTGTGACCATGTAGACAGAATCTCGTTAGGGTTTGTGATTTTTACATTTGCCCAATGACCATAGTGAGTATTGCTGGGGATACCAAACGTAACAGTTTATTATTAGAGGTTGTGAGTACCTATACCACGTAGATAGGATATATTTAGGATTTTAATCCTTCTTTGAGAGGCATGGCTGGTTTTACATTTCTGATACAGGTGCTTGACTGACTGAGTAGTTCATGATCAATTAGATATGTTTAAATCAGTCAAGTTTGCAACAATAGATAAATAAGTTGATACATTTGGACCGCAGTTACCGATTAACAACTTAAGACATAGAGACAGGGAGGAGATATATAACCAAACCTATGGTCCTGTTGAGACAGTTGACAGTTAGAACGTTGGATTAAATGACAGTAACTAATTTGAACGTTCCCAAGTAATATCATAAAATACATCATAACTCATAACAGTCCGAGAAACAGCTTCCAGCCATATACCAGTATTGAAGGGACAATCGCTTTTGACAGTTTAAAAATAAACTCACCTTAAGGTGCTTGGCAAGTCAAAACTGACCTCCCTGAATATGGGGGGGCAAGCGTGGGAAGGCACGGCGTCGGCTGGCGAGCATGTGTGGCTAGAAGTCTAGCGGCGGTATCCTTCTAGTAGTCTCTTGGTCAGCTTCTCATCCTGGGGGTTGGGATTCTGGTAGAGACTCTTGGCAAGGAGGGCGGCGGTATTGGCGACGAAGTGGTTTGAGGTCGGTACGCCACTACTCTGGAAGAAGTGGTACAAGTCTGTGTAGTTTGTGATGTCGTACTCGATGTCCTGTCCCCCCTTCTTGTGCACCATGATGAAAGGGACTCTTTGTTTGGCGTAGAGATGTTCCTTTGGGGTGTTGATCTGGTCAACCTTGAGATCCGACAGGGCCTTGTAGTGGTTGATCGGAATGTCTGACTTTTCCACTAGTAATTAAAGTTCTTTGGTATGACCTCTTTTATCCCTGCTGACGTTATCCTAATGTTCAATTTCAGTCTGCCTCACCAAGCGTAAGAAAGCATTGTACATGTTCTGATAAACCATACTGATGCAATTAAGCAAATGAATATTTGCTGTGGGCAAATATCTATTTTCTATATATATATTTGTGGATATGAATCATTCTAGTTAATTGTGGATACACTGGGCAGACAGAATTGTGTTTATTTCCAGGCCATCCTGATCGTCGTTTACTACTAAAAGGTGTATGTTTTGAGGCAAGAT